GTATTTTTTTTTTTTTTAGACTTTAGAAACTCAGAAGCTGATCAAATATCGGTGGGGTGGCCGATGTCCGATATTCAGTTTTAAGGCTGATACAGGCCGATACCGATAGAGGGCGGATTATATCGTGCATCCCTAGTTAAGAGTCTTGCTTGGTGACCCAGAGCGGCAGTGTGTGGGAGTGGAGCTAGAACTCAGAACCTCAGACTTCCAAGTGCAATGCCCTAACCACTAGGCCACCACTCCTCTACAACTAGCTCCACGAGGGGATTTGTCTAGGAATGAAACAGTTAAGCAGGCTAGTTCTAAGGCAGTTTTAATGTCAAAGGGAAGAAAGAAAGCCCATAGAGTTATTCATAGTAAAAGCTGAGCCCATAGCTTTTTTTATGATTGAAACAGGACTAAGCACTGACAACAGACATAACTCTATGACAGCAGCTGTCAACACTTTAGATTATAGATAAATAAAAATAACAAGCGAATAACAAAGGCGATGGATCACTCACCGGCAATGGTATAAAAGCAGGCAACTCCTAGATGAAGAAGTATGCGATACTGTGTTTTGATGTCTTCTACTTTTTTATGCCAGAGAGTGTTATTATGTGCATTGGGTCATTCTCTATTAAGTCATAGACATTATTAATAAAGCCTGTTGTTACTGATCCTTTTCTAACCTGCTGGCACTGTTGATACCATGGTTCAGTTTTGTTGTCAGGCTTGTTCACATGATCGCTTCATAAAAAAAAAAAAGTCAAAGATTGTTTAGCCAGCAGCAAGTATTTCATACTTCACTGTATTTAAATGATTGTAGATATAAAAGAAAAACATGATCAAATGGGTACGTGATTAATAAATGCAAGGACATAGGATAACTTAGTAGACAATCACCTTAATGGCAGGTCTTTAAAGCTCTGGACTTTTGGTGGAACGCTAATGGTATGCATCTTATCAACCACTACTACTACTACTTCTACTGTATATGGCTTTTGGTGAATTTCAAGAAAAATATAAATTGGTTTCTCAGCTCCTTTTTTGCAGTTCTCCTTTACCTAAGGAACCTAGGTAACAATAAATGAATAATCTTCAGAGCAAACATGAGTGTCTGTTGGCCTCCTTTTTGCCCTGTTGCCCAGTTTGGCAGGTTAAGACAATATTTATTCTCCTTCAGTGTCTTGATGATAAATTCAATTGAGGCCAGCTTCTACAGTGATTTCCTAGTATAAATAGAGGGACCTTATATAAATTAGATCAATCACTTCAAAGCAGCTGCTTGGTTTTCCAGCAGTTTGTTAAAAAAATGAAGCCTTTCAAGGCAATTTTTTTTATATAAGAAAAGGCCAGATAAGACTGCCAATGATTATTTTCCTTTAAGGGACAACAGGCTGAAACATGCAAGTTAAGTTGTTTTTTTTAATTAGATTAAACATATTTAAACCAACCAAAACCTTCAAAAAATTTTTGCAGATGTTTTAGATTCATATGATAATAAAGTGATTTCATCTGACATAATGAGAACTCAGAAACTCTGCTGTGATATGCAGGATAAACCTAATAATGAATAAGAGATGAACCAACATTATCATCTTCACATCTTCATTTTATCATTGACTTTAAAAGATGCAGTACAGTTTTGGACAGCATTAATCATGGTTGGATCAAACTCTTTGCTTACCCTAATTAGTTATGTGCTATGGTTTTTCATATATATATTGAAAATAACTACTAGTGCTTAAAAGAGTTAGGTTTGATCAACAGTGCAAAATAGACATAAAAAGGACAGAAAAATTAACTGAAAGCCTAATAATGAATAACAAATGTCATATTTTGGTTTGGCTTCTATAGGAACTACAGAAAATGTCAACTCAACAACATACATTTACACCCCCCTTGACTACAAGGTGAGTCTGGATTCTGGTTGCAAACTAGTTTAAAGCATATCAGTTGGATAAAATAAGTAGTATGTTTGTGTATATTGTTTTTAAGGTTGTTGCATGAAGCTCAGGACTCATTGGACCGTCCATATTATAGTGACACCAAGCAAGCAGATCTGACTACCTCCCCTGGCTGTATTGCTTCCGCCACCTTGAGCCGAACAGCAGAGGTTGGCTACCTCAACCTCAGCTCAACACAGAGGGCCTCAGAGAAGTTAAAGCTACAGTCTGCTTTCAGGACTTCAGAGAATGAAACTTCCTAAGATTTTCTAACTTAAATATGATTAACCTGTTAATACCATTCCGTTTAGAGGTTTGTGCAACATGTATTGTATATCCTGTATTTTTCCCCACGCCAGTTATTACAGGAAAATCGTGTGACTTTACAAGAATAGCTAAACTGAAACATTTCCACTCTGCTTTGGATTGGTTAAAGTCACAAGCAAGAAGAGACTGGAAAGGCTTTACCTCTGGCAGCATTGTGGTTGCTATCTCTCTCTGCCTGTTTTTTCTCTGTATGTAGTATGAGCTATGATGAGAACCTCTATCGTAACTACATTCATGCTTTCTCAAACAAGTACAATTGAAAGATTTGGTTTTGTTGTATTTTATTTGTTGTTTATTTGTTTTACACATGTAACTTTTATACCGTCTTGTAGATAGAAAACACATTAAAGCTGCCAGAAACATTATTCATTTAACAATGCAGCCAGTATGCATTGTTTGTGAAGTTTCAGTTCAAATTATTGTCACATATAAACAAAAAGATTATCCTGCATTGATATAAAAGTAGAACAATGTCTCACATTCTTTAGACAAACATAGGTATACCTGAAAGGGATCTCTAAAGACATAACGCACAACAAAACTTTACAAAAAAAAAATCCTTATGCTTGCAATGAAAAATGTTCTTAAAAAAGTTAACTTAGCCAACCAGTGTCTTTAAAAAAACAAACATCCAATTCCCTGCTATTTATGAAAATACAGAGTTAGTCATTTTTAGTCCCAGCATATCAAAATCAGATGTTTTGTGATTGCAAACAAAAAGAAACAATATTCAAGAAGATACAGCTGCCTAAATAATAGTTCCAGGGTTGTTTCACTTTCTAATGATAAAAATAACAGTTTGAAAATATCCTAAAATTGATTGATTTTTATACATTTTATTGCCAGAATATTACATTGTTACATGTTCCATCTTACTCAATCGAATGTTTTACCCCTATTATTAAAATTAGTTTTCGATTATTTTCTTTGTCTACATCTGGCTAATTGTCACGTCTACATTTCATATTATCAAAAAAAAATATACATAAATAACACAGTAAATACAATATACAATAAGAAGGGGCAAAAAAAAAAAACTGCAAATGAACTAATTGTCCTCCTTGTTTAATTATCAGATTTACCAAAAGAAGTTTTTTTAATATCCCTTAAATAGATCCTATCTGAGAGTATGAAGAGAGCTAAATGATTTCAAAAAGCAGCACACCATGCCCAGAGGTAAAAACATTCAAGAACAGTTGAGAAACAATCCCTATCAGACTGCAAATAGTTAAACTCTCAGGTTTCAAGTCTAACCACACAGAGTGAAACTAGATCAACCTTAGAAAAATGCAATGGAACAATGGTAAACCCGCAAAGGCCTACATGTATGACTAACCAAAATGTGAAGCAGTGCTTGCCTTACATTTTCTGTTAGAGATGTGGCTTCATTGGCCAGAAGTGTACAAACAGAAAAAGTTAACTAAGAATAAATATGTTCTCACAATGATGAGATCATTTACCAGCAATTTGACAAACCCTTAATCTCCATTGCAAAAACATTTTTATCTTTGTTCAAGACATGTTTCTGCGCTTCTTAAATTCAGTCGATACAAACCAGCTTCTCAAACTAAGAAAGTCTTAATTTGCATAATTAGTCTGTGTGAATTTCACATCTTTTTACTGGGAATGATGGAAACTTGATAAACAGACATGTGTGACAGTCTATTAAACATAATTATATCCATATAATCTTTGTGGGAGTTCTTCTCTTCTAAATCTTTTCCACAAAGCTTCATATAAAATGTTGAGTTCCGTTCATGTTAGAGTGCAAGCTTTAAGCATTTGCTTCCATTATTGGAGAGTTCTCTTTATTATCTCCAGTACCATTCTAAGCATTGACTAAGAGATCAAAGTTTGGATTGATATTTCTAAAAACAAACTTATCACTTATGTCCTATTATTGGACAGCAAGATTTCAACCATAAATGGTCCACACAATATATAGCTAACAGTTTTTTCCTAGCTTGCTACAATTATTTATTTATAATCCTGAGATACTTTAAGAACTGGTTACCAATCAACAGGAAATCCTGAAAGAAAATTCCCAGTTATCACATTCCTGGTAGCATATGTTTAGAGCATTTAATATTGTTAGCAATGCGATCAATTAGAATTTCACAGAGAAATATTTCAGCTTAAGCATCTAGTGCAGGATTAAGGTGTAAATATGCAGTCACTGCACAGGGCAGTAGAGTCCAAACTTTCTGAACCTCTCAAAATTCACAAACCTCTCAGGGCCAAAATTATGTTTTCAATCAAAAAAGCTAAATTATTCTACTATTAATTATTTTATGCTTCTCTGCTTAGCAAAATACGAAATATACAGCATTTTTAAGAAAAAAAACAACTTTTATAGATCCAATCACGGGGTTCGGTGGTTTGCCCTACCAAATGAAATGTGTCCAGTTTTCTAACCTTTAAGGTTAAAGGCCATAAAGTTTGTTAAAAAATAAGAACTGAAACAAAAACCTAATGAAATATTTGAAAACGAAAAGGAGCTACAAAAACCAAAAGTTAAACAAATGTACATCTGAAGCTCTCTCTTATAAAACCCAAAACATACACTGCAAAAAAAACATCTAGAAATGAGTAAAAAATGTCTTAAATTAAGTGTATTTACCCTTAATTTGAGCACGTAAATAAGATGATCTGCCAATGGAATTAGTATTATTACTCATAAAATAAGATAATTAGATAATATACGCTGGAAATAAGAAAAAGCAATTGTTATTTTTTTCTTATTTTATATGTAAATTGTCTTGTTCCATTGGCAAAGTGTCTCACTTCCCTCCTCAATTCAAGAAAAAATGCACTTAATTTGAGCAAAAATGACTTATTTAGATTTACATTTTTTTTGCAGTGTATGGAGGTGTACATTCGCATAGGGTACACAGGGTACACATAAAATTTAAAAAGTATTTTTTTGTTTAACTCTATGAGATGAGCTGTGCCTATATGTCCTGTCATGCAAAGGTTTGTTGCCGACTATAGATCCTATATGTCGGTTGGGAACATTGGGAGGTCCCTATGCTAAATTAACTATCAATAGATGGCATTCTGCTTTCTCTTCCTTCCTTACTGCCGGCACTATTTGGACAGCACTTATCACAGTGTATGCTGACACACTTGTACTTTGGCTTAAGTGTCCTTACTGATTCGCCCATTTTGGATGGAACCAGGGACTCTCCAAGGTTCCCAACTGTTGCATTCAGGAGATGTGAGAACTGGGAATGGCTTTAAAACATAAAAAACATTCTAGAGAAATGTGATTTACGGTAATAACATGCTTTGCTGATGAATCAGTCCAGTAAGCTAACAATCGTGCATCAAAAGTCATTTTTACTAGTCAATATTGAAATTCAGAGAAACGCATTTGGGTTTTCATTAGCTGCAAGCAGAGGTGGGTACTCCAGGATCAGTAATTACGAAACCTGTACTCGGTTCAAACCATGTGCCTCTCACAGCAATGGCAGGGACCAATGTTGAAAACCCCCTGGTTAAGTGAAGTGGGTGAAGGAAAACTATGCAGGGTTGCTATTTACTTCAAACAGATTTACCCACCAATGCCTACAAGCATAATCGCTGAACTGAAAATTAACACTTGAAATCGATCACTCTTTGTTGCATTAATCCAAATAATAGAGGAGGTTTACCTGAGATGAAATATATATTTGATGGTATTTCATTATCAATAAAGAGTCCCCTTTATTCCACAGCAGGTGACGTTAGGCTTTTAAGTAACATTTTGTCCATTTAGAAGCTAAAAAAAGCTCAAATGCTTCAATTTATAATGTCCTCAGCTCATCATAATTTTTGGGTGCCCACAACAGCCGCTGCACACGTATGTCAGCCCTGTAACCAATGTTGGTGTCCCAGCAGTACTCTGGAGAAAGAATCCTGCTGGGCTTGTGAAGCCAAAAGTACTTGTTTAAATGGCTCTCATCATGCCACAACGCCTCCACATTGTTCTCCTTATCCTCCATGATGCTTTTATAGCAAGCCTCTGTAAGGGCCTTGACGTTCTTCCAGGAGCCTCCAAACACAGCAGCGTGGTAATAAAAATCTCCAGTTTTCATGAATGCCTTGGATTTTGGGTTGCTGTCATAGGTGAACAACCTCTTTGGGAGGTGATAGTAGTAGGCATGAAGCAGAGCCACAGTATCTCCCAAAGCTTCTGGGCCAAATCTTCCTGTGAAAACCTGATCGACATCAAAGCAGAAGACATGCGTGGAGTGGTGCCGGATGTCCGACTCTATAATGTCTGATATGGACTTCATCCTCAACATGGAGATGTCCTGCCACCTTGTGTGTTTTTCTACTCTGATTACTTTCATCTTCCGATTAGGGGCGAGCTTGATGTTTGGTACTTTCTCTGGTGTGTCCGTAAACACATAGTAAATCACAGGCAAACTCAGCATGAAATGACGCTCTGATGATTTAAGGAAAGCCTCAAGGTAGGCATCCAGGTACCTTTAAAACAGAGACAAGGATGTAGCACTTGTTTTCCTTATCAAGGTGCACCAGGATGTGTCCTCACATTGATTTAAAAACCAACCTGCCAACTGCAAACACAGTTAAGGCGACAGACGACCCGCGGCTTCTGTGTATCTGATCGTAATGACTGGGGTTAAACATTCCCTCCCAGATGATGGGAGCATTCCAGGTTGTGCATGTCTGCACGTCACTTCGAGACCTGAAACAGAGGAAGACGCATGCTTTAAGTTTTATGAAGGGTTGTAGTATACACTGTACATTTAATTCAGCTTTTTAGATACAGATCTCCTTATAAACACACTTCCTCTTTATCAACCTGTTGGTTGGCTAATTTCCAACTGAAACACAGAAACACACACAAAAAAAACTATGATTCCTGTCAGGCATCTATTTATGAAAACAGACTTTTCTTCTTGTTCTTAATTTTATTACTCTTTAAGTTAGCATTATTTATGCTACATTATTGAAACATCTAGAGCAGGCATCCCCAAACTCTGTCCTCAAGGCCCCCTGTCCTGCAGGTTTTAGAGGTTTCCTTGCTCCAGCACAGCTGATTTAAATTGAAAGCTGATTAACAGGCTTTTGGTCTACTGCAATCATTATAATCAGCTGTGCTGAAGCAGAGAAACCTCTAAAACCTGCAGGACAGGGGGCCTTGAGGACCGAGTTTGGGGATGCCTGATCTAGAGTTATTGTGTTAAGACAGAATACTCTGAAACGGCCCTTCTCAGAGTTGTAACTATAGTCACCATCTGAGGAAACACTTTGGTAAATTCCAAGATGAACATAAAGTACAGATATAAAAAGGTCAGCGTGAAAGTCTGAGTTTTTTTTTGAACTTCCATCCAAATATCTTTCCCTCGACTCAGCCCTTCCCATCCTCTTCATATAAGAAAAAGTGAGGAATTATGAGATGCCATGTTTTTTATTCTACACTTTCAAAACTATTGAATACGTGCATTGTATTATAATGGCTTTGGAAGTCATGATGCCAAATCATATTACACTTGATATCACAACTGAAATAAAGTATTAATAGCTCCATGAGTGCCAGGTCTAAATAAAATCTTTTGGTACCAGTGAAAAAGTAGAATTAAAATAATGCTTTTCAAGCCGAACCGAAAAGATACATTTTTTTATTTAGCTTGTCCTGAAGGTATAAACACCATGAAAACCCTTTTTTGGAAACCAAGGATCCGTTTCATAATGTGGGTTTAACAAATTCCGATTCAAATCCACAACTCTAAATTGATCTAGCCAGAAGTTGGGAACTCTGAGTTTTTCGGTTTCACAACGGCGGCTATCAATTAGTTTAATCAATTTTAACTAGGTCCACTCAGAGTTAAGCATGTGTGCAAGTATGAAAAGCCATTATCATGGGAGCACTGATTTGACGAGTCCCCATGACATGCGGCAACAGGAAGTGCCTATTTCAACCCACTGGAACTAGAGATTTTAATGCAGAAATGCCAAAAAATAAAATAAAAAAGGAGAATGTGTTTTAAAGACAGAGAAACAGTGCTACAGCTACAAAGGAGAGGAAGGTGGCAAACGAGAAGGTTGTTGCTCCAGTTAATGCGTAAGTTTATATGAAGTAGGCTATGGCAGTGAATGATACATACTGTATATATATTTTTTATGCACAAAACTACGACAAAAATCAGACTAAATCAGGAAATAAAACAGCGTGATTGGCTGTAAGGATAATGGAGACAGAGGACACCCCGAGTTTACTGAAGAAAACCTTCTCCTGACCAGGTTAGCTCTGGGGAAAATATTACTGCAGTGACTGAAACAGAGGTTGAATAAACTCTCTTTGTGAACCAAAAAAGTCAGAGTTTCCCTTTTTTTCAGGTTTAGAGAAATTACAGTTTTCAGTAAACCTGCTTCATGAAACTTACCCCCTGGAAGACACCTTACATATCAACAATTTTACAATAACAGCATCAAACAAGGATTATGACAGCGGATCGGAAGCATATTTTCTGAACAAAGGTTTTTGTAAACAGTCCACCAGGTGCAAATGTGACGTTCGTTTTTCAGCTCATGAAAAGCAGTCTGGTCAAACATCAGTGTTGATATGCATTGTGGGACTCATTATGACAGAGCCTTTGTCACAATCTATGCTGTACAGCATTGACTGTGTCTGGACGGGTTCAGCCATATGTTGTTTCCAGGGAAATCAGCAATGAGAGGCAGGAGTATGATCTCCCAAAGCCTTTTTCCAGAAGATTCTGCAATGTTTGATACAACTGAGATCTTCTCTGTTTAAAGTGCTGTAAAACTTTAAAGCAACTTAAAAAGTAAATTCTCCTCCATCGATCAAACCACAAACCAATGGACTTTTTTTTCCAAGTTTGAAGACTTTTCGCTTCCCATCCAGGAAGCTTTCTCAATTCATAATGGCTGCAGTGACGTTTGAGTTCCAGAGTTATAGAGTGTTTCCTATGGCTTAGAAAATATGCAAATTGAATAGGAAAAAAAGTCCACCCCTCAGAAATTAGAGTCGCTGAGGTCATTGTTGGTCTGCAGTACCTGATGCTGGGCCATGTCTCTGAAAAGGGAGTCGTTAGGGTCATTGTTGGCCTGGCTGACCTGGCAAGATGTTTTGGTCCCCTGAATAGTGATGGGGGTTGAGATGATAGTGGGAAGGAATCAACTCTATCGCTGCATTGTAGGTTTAAGGCCCCGTCCACATGAAGTCAAAACGAACACGAAACGCTGATATTTTCCAAAACGTTTGCCG